TCCCGCCGGGATTTCCGTGCTGTGAATGCTCAGGGATGGCTGGGAAGCTGTGGGATTTCCCGGGAATTCCGGAATTCCGGGAATTACCTGCTGGAAGCGCTCGGGGCCGGCCTTGGGCGGGGCCGGGAACGGCGCCGGGATCAGGGGGAAGCTCCGGGGATGCTCCGGGGGCAGCAGCGGCAGCGGGAAGGGCGGCGGGGGCTGGGAATGTGGGGAAATCTGGGAATGCGGGGAAATCTGGGAATGCTGGGAGACCTGGGAATGCTGGGAGACCTGGGAATGCGGGGAGTGCTGGGGATGCTCCGGGAACGGCTCCGAGGGCGGCCGCGACGGCGGCCGGGACGGCGGCCGCGACGGGATTTGGGGAATTTGGGAAGGGATTTGGGAGGGAATTTGGGAAGGGATTTGGGAGGGAATTTGGGAAGGGATTTGGGAAGGGATTTGGGGAATTTGGGGAATTTGGGGAACGGGGGCCGGGGGCTCCCCCGGGGACGCTCCCGGGAGCTTCGGCTGCAACAGAAGGAACAGGAAGAGCTCGGTTAGTGCGGGAAGCGGGGCCGGGATCCCCCAAAATCCCCGGATCTGGACCCAAATCCGCCCCTCGGGAAGTCGGGAATTCGGGAATTCCCTCCGGGAGCCGGGGGGGTCTCGGGAAGGGCCCCGAGCCGCCCCCGCATCCCAAATCCGGCCCAAATCCGGCCCAGTTCTGCCCCTGCGGAAGGAGGGACCGGGGAAACTGAGGCAGGATCCACCACGGCGGCTCCGGGGGAGAAATATCCCGGGAAAAACAAGCCCGGAACCCCAATCCTGCCCCAAATCCCAATTTCAAGGAATTTTTGGGAGGCAGGAATGGGAAAATCCACCCAAAAATGGCCCCAGAACCCCAATCCTGCCCCAAATCGATTTTTAAGGAATTTTTGGGAGGCAGGAATGGGAAAATCCACCCAAAAATGGCCCCAGGACCCCAATCCTGCCCGAAATCGATTTTTAAGGAATTTTTGGGAGGCAGGAATGGGAAAATCCACCCAAAAATGGTTCCTGAAATGGAACATTCCAGAAAAAACAACCCCAGGGATCCCCCAGCCCCCCCAAATTCCCACTCCCGAGGAATTTCGGGAAGCAGGAGGAGGAAAAATCCCCCGGGAATGGCAAAAATCCTTCATCCCCCCCCCAAAAAAAAATTCCCGTTCCTGGATTTTGATCCCTGGATAGTGATCCCTGGATTTTGAATCCCTGATTTTCAATCCCTGGATTTTCGATCCCTGGATAGTGACCCCTGGAATTTGATCCCTGGAATTTGAATTCCTGGATTTTCAATCCCTGGATTTTGATCCCTGGAATTTGAATTCCTGAATTTTCAATCCCTGGATTTTGATTCCCAGACTTTCGATCCCGGGATTTTGAATCCCTGGATTT